ACATTTATATCGGAGCAAATACACTTCATTGTGCGTTGGTGGCATAGCGGTTAGGACGCTCGTCAACCATGCACATGGTCCGGGGTTCGATCCCCGACCGACGCACTCCTTTACCTCGCTAAACCAGAAATAATGCTGGTGAAGAGGAAAGGTTGGCCATGAGGCTAGCAACCCCATCCTGTAAAATAAACACTGCTACAGAAACTTCAAGCCACTAGCTTGAAGCCCTATGTTCCACTGGGGAACGTGAAGGATAAAAAAATACACTTCATTACTACATACCTTTATAATATACCAGACATTATAGTACAGTATAGTATATCATGTTGTGTAGACAGTTGCCAATTGAAGTCTTGATAACACTGAATGAACAGTTGGAAGGCTACTCAAAGATCGTTAGTGTGGATCGAACTTTGTACGAATTATTCACAAATAGATTCCTCTGTGTGAAGAAAAGTCCTCAAGAGTTATTTTTTTAGGGATTTGATTAGTTTCAAGTTTGATAACAGACTGATATCAGTTGTAGAACCAATGAAAACTAGCAGGGAGCACTGAACAGCTATTTCCTCCTAGTTTGAGTCTCATTAGCAGTGCTGACCCACTGGCATTCGAACCCAGGACTTTCTGGTTACAAGTCAAGTTCATCAGCCATTCATGAATTGATAGAAGTTAGAATTCGTGGGCCACTAATTCGAGTCCCAATGACTGAATTGTCTATGAGCTCTATGTCTTGTAACCGGAAGTTTCTGCATTCGAACCTCAGTGGATGTTTCGTTCCGATAAGTCGGAAATTAGCCTGACGAAACACATGTCCAATACTCTCTGATAGTTTTCGATGTTTCTCTAACCGATATTAATCCATGGTCAAACTTAATGAGAGAAAAAAAGCACAGTGTATGTTATTCAATCCAGGTGGAAGTATGTAAACGGGACACCAGTTGGTATTATTAGTCTGTTCATATAAAAGCACATAAACCATTCAGCCACTGAGACCCAACTCCTCAATGCCCAGTCCATGAATTCTAACTTCTACCAATTCGTGATTTAACACTACAGGCACCAACCAATGTCATTGGTGGGATATCTATCCTCACACTTGACTGGATGGACCTCAATGGACCTCGAAAACCAACTCCTGAAAATTAATCTGATGCTCGCTAGTGGCTTGCTACAGGACTAAGTTTCCTGCAGTTCTAGTGAGAAGTCATGATCAGTGAGGTCCATTCAGTAAAGTGTATGAGGATGTATGTCTCACCGATGACATTGGTTGGTGCCTGTCGCGCTAAATCACGAATTGGTAGAAGTTAGAATTCATGGGTCCCAATGGCTGAATGGTATAGGAGCTTGCTTTGTAACTGGAAGGTCCTGTGTTCGAACCTTGGTGGTGGGTGCGTACTGCCAATGATTGCCAAAGTAGGCGGGTGAAACAACTGTTCAGTACTCTCTGTGGCTGGTTTTCAATGGTTCTCTAACTGATATCAATCCGTGATCAAATTCGTCAAAACAAATCTAATCCTTACAAACCAACTATTGAAGAAAGCACATAAATTTAATCACACTTTTTATACGCACAAGTTTTATTTTCTTGTCTATAAAATGACCATCATCTTTGTATCAATATTATTATTATTATCATTATTATTTGACAATACGCATTCATGTACGTACAACACATAAAAAGAGTAGGTAATTACAATTTATTTGTTTTCATTATTCATCCTAGATGTAATTTACTTGTTCTATATCGGAAAAAATTTCTCCTTTATGCATCTAATAATTAAAACATCCATTTAGTTTTACCAATTGCCTGCCTGTTCTTCATGAAAATCCTTCTTCCCCTTCTTTTTCTTTTTGGATATCTTCTACTTGGTCAATAATCTTGCATCCCTTCTGCCCAACAAAACCAACCACCCACCCACTCACCAACTTCACATTAACCCTCTTTCCCAACAAGTACACATATTGCATGCATATCTCCTTATGCTTTTCAGGTATGTTGTGTACGTGTGGATCAGATCAGTTAGGCGAATTGTAATAAATATTTTTTTCGTTAGGTAGATGATAATTTATTTCCTCTACTGTTATCTTTCATTTGTATCAAAAAATTTAGCATTATAGGGAAATGTGTATAATCACCATTACTGTGTCATCAAAAAAAAGTATCCCACCTTATTCCCTTTTCTTCTGTGATGAATGGACATTAATTTAATGCTAAAGAGAATTAACCTTGTATGCAAAGGTTGTGTGTGGTGCGTGGGGTGTGTGAAGGAAGCGAGTGGGTGGGTGCGTGGGGTGTGTGAAGGAAGCGAGTGGGTGGGTGCGTGGGAGGCAAGAAGAGATACCTCTTTTTCTATAACGTACAAATCATAATTTATTGTTGATATTAATCTATTTTTTTCTATAAGAATTATTATTTCTTTTTCTTAATATAAAATATTTTAATGATTCCAATATAAAAATCAGTGTTAGAAGTCTTTATTTAGCATTTTATGATAAATGCTATTCATCAATCTGATGAAATAATTTGAAAGGATAGAAGAAAACCTATGAGATGATATTAGATGGTTGGAGGCAATCGGCCACAGGAAGCCTTGGACCTAGGTTTCGTGCTAGTTGGCACTCATCAGCAAGGCGTATCTGCAACCTTGAAGGAACTCATGTCCCTTCTGAGATTCGAACCCGCGTCACCCAGTGCTGACTGCAGTCAGAGACGTTACTACTGAGCTATTCGGGCTCGCGATTGACCTCCTGTAGGAATGTGGTGGATATTTTGATTTGATACTATTAACTAGTGTGACATGAGTTCCTTCAAGGTTACAGATACGCCTTGCTGACGAGTGCCAACTAGCACGAAACCTAGGTCCAAGGCTTCCTTCCGATTGCCTCCAACCATCTAATATCATCACAAAACAATATACACCGTGATGGCGAGCTACCTAGAATGGTGGCCACATTGCAAACCTGACTGACTGATAGAATTCAGTCTGCACCAAAGAGAGGACTAGACGCATCACACTACTTACTAGTGTCAAATCAAAGAAAACCTATGAGACATAATTCATTTTTAAGGAAAATTTTATTTCAATTTTGATCAAGGATAAATATCAAGTTATAGAAGCATTGAAAGCCATCAGGAACTACTAGACAGCTGTTTCATCCCCCTGGTTTGGGATTCTTCGGCGAAATATACTCCCTGGGGCTCGAACCAAGAACTGTCCCTATAAATTAACTCTTGAAAATCAAACTTGCATTCTACTAAAGATGATTATAAATAATGGAATCTAATAGACACCTTTGTGTGTGTGTTGATGTAGTGACTCCTGGAATGAACAGTTCAACGATTCTTTATGGTGAACTTAATGTTATTTGGTTAACATCGGCTAGCACTGTAGTGTAATCCAAAATGTTTGTTCCGCCTTATCCGAAGCTTGCAATCTGGATGTACTTGTACCTCAGGAGATGATAAATTTCCTTTTGAAACTCAAAAAAGGATGCCTATGTTTCAAGATGCACAATTTGTCATGTTTGGGACTCATCATCTGAAGGTATCTACAGTTCCAGCGAGCGCTGGTGTCTAAATTGACGTGTAAACTCAGCCAGTATCCAAACTCTGAAGCGTTATCCACTAAACCGCTTGGGCCACGAGAACCACCTATTGTGTAATGGGAATTATTTATCATTTGTTGATTAATTGGACAGCAATGTCCAGCCTGTGTTGACATGTCGGCTGCTATTAAGGACTTTTAAACTGAGACCCGTGAGAACACTGTCACTCATTGGGAATGCAGGTGACGAGTCCCCGACAGGACGAAATGCACAATCTAGATTTCACCGATTCTCACCATCCACCAAATTACTTCAGGTTAATCCGCAGAAACTATTGACGTTTCCGTACTAGGAGTGAACCGACATGTTTGCAGAGGCCAAACATTTAGGTCCAGTCAGTCAGTCAGTCAGCGGGAAAATCAAAACTGTTTTAATGACAAATAAACAATGACAGGCATGGGGAACCAAGAACCCCTGGATAGTCGTCTTAATTCACGACGTAATCTACATTAAAATCTGAGTATCTGTAGCTAACTTACTAGTAGCTATAAAATAGATGTCCCAAATTTCTGTAAGAGGTCGTCGTCAGAGGGTTCCATAATATCAGGGTGGAGCGCTTACCAATGGCGAATGGTCAAATTTCATCTCGCTGGCTGAATAGTCAGTGGATTATCATAGTAACCTGATGTTCATCGATGGGCTCAATCGATCCCTGGTGTCATTGGTGTCCACGGCATAAGTGTTCAATGCTGGTTGGTTCAGTTTTCATGATTTTGTACCTGATTTCGATTCGTGATGAGATTTAAAATGAAACTTAGAACTTGCTATTAGAAGTCAATATATCATTCAAGCGTTTTCCAACATGTTAGACTTCAGAACTGACTTGAAACATGTCTTTCCTTCCAACCTACATAAACATTCTGAAATGCAGATTTCCTTGATCATTATGGAATACACTCAACTGCTTATCTTATTATTCTGCACGCAGGTGATTAACAATACAACTACAGGGTAGGGAGTTGTACATTTCATTACATCTCATATTTTGCGGTAATATTTAGATTTCAGTAGGCAAGAAGCAAGGGGTGGTCAACATCTAGGCTTCTTCTTCTTCACTTACTAATATTACTGTTTTAGAGACAAGAACTGTTCGAATGTTTCAATGCATAGAAATGACACGGACTGTTGCCCACTGTTGTTTTCCTGCCCCCGCTCCCTCTATGCAAGAGGTATCCCTATTTACTTCTGATTGGTGTCCCCTTATTGAAATCGACGTATTGTATAAACCGATGGCGTTCAGATTTACTAATTCTAGTTTATGCTTTCCTATCTTCATTCACTTATATTCTACCAGCTTTTGAGAAATAACACTTCAATTTTTATAAACAAATGTATTTTACTGATAAATATTTCTTTACAGAAAGCAGAAAATTTATATACATTTTTATATACTACTTATATAAGCGTATGTTGGTTGTTTGGAGATAGAAGAATTGATGATCAGAGTTTTTTGTATTTTATTTTGAGTAAATTAACAATTAATGCCAAATGTTCAGTGGAAATGGAATACCTCACGTCGTTTAAAATGAAGTGGGAAGGAAAATGAGTACTAGTAAATTCCAGGTAGCAAGTGGAGAAAAATCATCCAGGTGATTCTTGTGTTCTTTCGTATGTACAGAATATTCTGTGAACAAAACAAAGAAAATGACAATTTAGTAAACACCAAGTTGAATAATAGTATATGAAGAAAACAAGAACAACAGTTTTTACAGAATAAGATGGTTTCATCATTTATTTTGTTGGATTCTCATCAGCTGCCTACAGCTAAAGATATTATTATTATTATGTACAGAGTTAAAGAATATGCTCTACAGAAAAATTAGAGAAAGAACTTGAGAAGAAATATTAGAACACGATGGCTACCCTCAGAGACTCACTAGCAAGTACGGAAGAAATGAAGACTTAAATTTCACACAAATTACAGTGGAAAAAAAACCTGTCTTTAATCAACTTGATTTTAAAGGTGAAAATATTGCAGGAACAGTTCACAAAACATTGAATATATCACTAGCTAGCGCCTATCCTACAGCTGAGTTGATTCCCGTTTGTCGAATGATATATTCTTTGGTACAGTCAGAAGTCAACCCAGACGCCCTTCTCATGTTAACTCTAACTGTGTATACAAATTTACGTGTATCTGCGGGAGCAGTTATATTTTGAAGAGCAGAAAGAAGGGCACAGCTCAGATTTTCTGGACATCTACCAAAAAGACGATGCCATCAGGAGTACAAATACTTACGGTGGTGTCATCGTCAGCCATCTCACTAATAGGGGTCATCAGGTGGGCATTGCGAAGTCAATAGACAAAATAGTTCAATTCTCCTCAAGTTTGTCGAAGCAAGCACGCCGGTGGCTCAAAGATAGATTGCTTGACAGTCATACATGTGGTTTGGGATTCAATTCCCATCGATTCCAAGCCGTCACACATATTTTCCTCCCGTAGTCTGATATAGGTCCACTAAAGAGAGAAGGTTTAGCGTGAGGCTAGCGATCCTACCGCTTGGAAAACCACCACTACTACTGAAGCGTCATGGCGCAATCTTGAAGCTCTGTATTCCACTCAGAACTCAAAGGAGTAATAAATTGCCGAAGCGATCTCTACCAAACACCTTAAATCCAATTTATATGTGCAGAAAGAAGTGGTTATCAGTCTTTCCTTGCCCGGGTAACTGGATATCTTCACTCCCTCTTTCATTTGATTGCATAATCTCCTGTCCTTACTACATAATTCCTTTACCACCGTTTGCATTCATTGATTTTTTGTTTATTTTGGACTTTCTGGATAAGGACTATATGAAATATAATTTTCTGAGAACTTTTTATTAACTCTGGAGCCTTCTGTCAACTGACATCATATAACACTTGCAAATGTGTTAAAATTGTTCTGTACATCAACTTGACAACTTCATTAGGCTGTACGCAGCTGATGAGAAACCAACAGAGAGAAAAAATGCTAGTACCATCTTATTCTGCACAAAAAATTGTTCTTGCTTTACTCAACTTCATAAAGCCTAATAGATGTGTGAGGTTAAATAGGACTGAAAAGCACTTTTTGATACCTAGTTGTTCATAAGAATATTATCAGAAATATTTTGTGTTTTGAACGTTATTTAAAAGTTGCTTAAATCGGTTGCACACAATGGATATTTGGAACTATCCACCACTTAGAAGAACCTTAGTGAAGTTATCATTTCCAACTACATACGGCACGGATGAGAATATGCAAGTTGACAGTACTTACCTCGTAGAAAAAGGTATAAGTTTCCAACGCCAATGTCAGATCAGTGTTGTTATATGCTTCAGAGACTTGACATATCACTAAGATTGCTCCCATCAGACTGCAAACTTGTTATTAGATGCCTTCAGTTTTGGTTAAGAACAAATAACGATCCGGGTAGCCAACGAACCAGCCAAGAAGTTATTACTCAGCAGAAGAATTCAAATAAAAATAGAAATGGATAGGAAATACTCTAAAGGGACAGTTTAGTGATATAACACCCCAGGAGAGACCTTTTAGTGGAATCGAAAAGGTAAACGGTCAGTTGGGCATGGGTCCAAGAATTAAAAGATGGGAAGCATGTTTAGAGGAAATAAAAACCTTTGAGGAATCATGTACCCATTGGAGTATGCTGGAAGAAAACTGAGTGGAATACAGAGTCTTCGCCGAAGCCGTTTGTCCTGCAGTCTTAACTGATTTCGATTGTTTGGAAGTAGTGATCAAGAAGTTTTAGCTTAGGTTCAATGCTCACTGGCATTGGTCAGTAGGAAGTGTCTATTAACTCGTTGGAAGTACTGTTACTTCATTAAACTGGAGCCCATATTATTAGTGTTATAACTTAGGTGTTATTGCCCCTTAGCTGAATGCTTTTAACCACCAGTAGGTGTGTGTTCTGTCGATGATTACCAAACTAGGGGAAAGAAACCACTGCCCAGTAGTAATAGGTTTCTCGGTGGTCCTCAAATTGATGCCATCTCGTGACGAAACCTGTAATAAGATCTTTTTTTATTTCCTCCACGTTCCCCAGTGGAACATAGGGCTTCAAGCTAGTGGATTGAAGTTTCTGTAGCAGTGTTTATTTTACAGGATGGGGTTGCTAGCCGGCCTCAAGCCCAACCTTTTCTCTTCACCAGCATTATTTCTGGTTTAGCGAGGTAAAGGAGTGCGTCTGTGGCCGGGGATCGAACCCCGGACCACGTGCATGGTCGGCGAGCGTCCTAACCACTACGCCACCGACTCACCGTAATGAAATTAATTCGCAATAACTAGCTATCGCAGGCTAGCATTTAATTGATTTATAACTGTGTAGAACCTGCAAAAGAATTTACTGAAAACACTTATTCACTCTAATCATCTCTGTTCTGTATAATACAGGAGTAAGACTATATATATATATTTGTATACATTTATATATAACTCACCTATTTACACTTTGTAATACACTGAAATATCAGTGTGTTAAACGGAGATAATTCTTCTTCTATCACAAAGGCGAAAAGTATCCTGGAGCGGACTAATTCGAGGTCTGTAGACTGTTGTTACATGAGGTTGTAGATTTAACAGTTTTATTCACCGGGAACATGTCTAAAGAAGAAGGAAAAACAGAATATAGAATGCGGTTGTTCAGTTTTCATCACGAGTCAGTGTCAGTTACAGAGATTACTGGAAACCACTAGGGAGCATTGGACAGCTGTTTTGTATTATTTTGGGACTGGATGGATTTCTTGAAGTTGCAGAGGGAATTCGTGACCACTGGAGTCCATCAATAATTAAGGTGAATAACGGTACTCTTCAAAGGTTTTGTTATTGAGGGCAGTGCAATATCACGCAGGAGTTGACAGAGTTAGAATTCAGAGGTCATTGAACTGTGACCCAACTGACTGAATAGTCATTGAGCTTGGTGTTGTAACCTAAAGGTCCCAGGTTCGTTGGTGTGCCCTTCGCCCTCCTTTCCGATGACATCTCTAACTGACGCTAGATCAGGATGATAATACAACAACTGAAAATAATCAAGTTAATTTGATTTATTTAACTGACAGTAGTATTCAGGTCAAGCGTTTCGTCCTGCTATAGGACTCGTCATCCGGCAGAGTATAATTAATCAAAGGGAAATTCAAAATGATTATTTTAGCTAATAAGTTGAAGTGAGACACAGAGAATGGATACCATAGAGTATGAACACACCAATATGCTTGAGCACATATTAATCATTGGATAATACAACACACATCAGTTAAAGAATCGTTGAAAAATCAGCTATCTCGTCCTAGTTTAATACTCTTCAATAGTGCTCCCCTTTGTAGACTCGCAACCTGATAGTTCCGGCCTTCGATCTGTGGTGAACTCATGGGTGCCCATCGTGATGAGTGTCAAACAACGACGAAACAGTTGTTTTTAATGATTCTCTAACTGATGTCACTCCGTGACTAAATCGACACTTGATTCTCTCTGTGTTGGATCTATTTCAAAGTGTATTTCTATGCATTAACTAATGGAAAACCCGATACTGATGAGCTGCTCTGAAGAATTTAGAAATAGAGCCGGTAAATCTGATATATAACACCGGAAATCAAACTCTGATTTACTTTTTACTGATAACAATTATTAAGCAATTATGAAACACTGAGCTGAACAGTCTTTCTGTTTATTTAAACTGTAAAATGCTTCATTAAACATTCAACCGACTTTACATGCAGTTTGATTCATTGTACACTAGACACTATAGTCGTACGACCCCAATAGACTGTGAATTCTGACCACAGCCACAAGCCGTTGTCATCAGTGAGTATTTATCCGTGCTATTGACTGGCTAGACCCCGATAAGCATGACTTGTTCCTAGAACTCTCTTCAGACAACTTCCTCGTGTAACCAGTGACTAACTAGCGAGCATCAGAAGAATTTTCAACAGTTATTTTGTAGGCTACTTCCTGGTTTTGAACGCTGGTGCAGGCGTACTTCCGATGACTCCTAAATTAGGCTGACCAAAAAGTTGTCGAGTACTCCTTGATGGTTTTCAATGCTTTTCTAGCTCATATCAATCCATGGTCACATTCGAAATAGAACAAACTTTAGTAGATAATATTTGAACTACAAATCGCCCAAGAGTTTGTAAATGATTTCAGTTAACGTCACTTTCAAAAAATTGTTTTGTTTTTTTCACAGAAGTTCAGGTCTATTGAAATCATCTGCGTAATATGAACTGGTCATCAAATACAATAAAGGAGGCTTTTTTGAAGAATTCATTATTCATATAATGGGTCAGTTTAAAGTCTGAGGTAGCAACAGGATTCGAATTAATGGACTAATAATTCACAGACCACTGGTTCAATTCTAGGAACAACCTACTATCTCAGTTAAAGTCCGTCATTTTGACTGAAGGCCAGCTAGTGTTCTACGTCTACATCAAACAAAGGACTAGACTCATAACATTAGTTAGTGCCGACTCAATGTATCTAAAACACTCCTACAGGAGGTCAACTGCCTCAGTGGTAATGTGGTGAGAGCTGGCTGCTAGCCAAAGTTGGTAGACAATAATTGACGTCAATGTTTATTTCCCCAATATTGGTGGTAAGAAAATGATGAGAACAAAGGCTTCGCATAGGCGGATACAGTTAGCATATGGATGATCTGACACAGCCACAAAGAGATGCGAGGTTAACTTTGTGTGAGAAACAACCAATCAAAAGACTGTATTTTCTACTAACAATAATCTACAATAATGTACATTAAAATCTATAAATATGTGTTGATTTTCCTTAATAAACGATCTGTTGCCTGACCCTTGTTACAGTAACATCTCTGACTGCAACACTGGATGATACGGGTTTGAATCTAAAAAAGGACATGAGTTCCTTCAAGAATGTAGATATGTGCTGCTGATGGATGCTGACAAACATGAAACCTAGGTCAGGTGGGACTTCCTGCAGATCGCCTCCAACCATCTAATTAAAGTCCGCTATTTTTATTAGTCGTGTCTTTGCAAATGAATAATAATGGAAACATTCGTGTGTTCCTTTAGTAGTAAGAAATGAAATTAATAATCACAACGTTATTAATAAATATTTATAAAACACAAAATAATCGAGCAAAGAATATTCTTTTCGATAAATTCCACTTCCAGGCTCTACAATTATATATATGTTTATATACACAGAATATTTTAAATTAGTAGTTAATAACAATATTAGCTCCTGTGGAGCCAGTTACATAGGTCGTACAATTAGGCGTGTTTCTCGTCGAATTTCCGAACATCACCCTGCCTGGTTAAGCAAAGGTCAAACAAAATCTATTCGCAGTGCTATTCTGGCGCATCTTGTGGAACACAAGATTGACGTTAATCATGCTTTCAGGGTCATTTACCGCATACCTATGAATCTCAATTTCGCTTTAAGAGTTCGACTTCTAAATATTGCTGAGGCTGTGGGAATTCATATTAATAAGCCTAATTTATGCACCCAAAAGAAGTTAGTTCAGTCATTATCATTACCTTGGCCATCCAGGTTTGAATAATCCAGAAATTTTGTGAAATTTCCCTAATTTTAGTTGATATTCTATTCGCTGTTATATCTTTATTATTATTATTGTAATTTAAGCATCTTTAATGAACTGTAATAGCATTGATTATACTTTACAAATCGATTTTATTTAAAAAAACGCTAATATTGTTATTAACTACTAATTTAAAATATTCTGTGTATATAAACATATATATAATTGTAGAGCCTGGAAGTGGAATTTATCGAAAAGAATATTCTTTGCTCGATTATTTTGTGTTTTATAGATGTCTGAATGAATATTTTTGCAATATTAATAAATATTTGAATCAGCATACACACTGGATTTAATGCATATTTTCATCAAAATAGAACGCTAAAACTATCGCGATAATAAAAAGTGATAATGATTACACTTACCCGTTAATTTTAATTGTTTCAAATTCGATATTCTTGTAACAGAGGAACAACTAGTCCACTTTCCACTTGACTTTAAGGAAATTCCCATTGTTTTCATGGATTTTTTGTCACAAGAAGAATCATTAAATCGACTGATTCTTGGATTCACGACATGTTGAAGACGATTTGTTTGGACACATTTACCTTCACTTTGACTTCTCACAAGGGTAGCACTCAAATCTTCCACTGAACTGGACAAACTAGTATTATCCAGTGGATTTCGAATTCGGGCACCATGGAGTCGTGATAATGACAATGCTGATGATGATGGTGATGAAGGCAGAGAAATACAGTCTCCTGGAACTGATACATGTGACACCTTCCTACCCACTTCTCTGGACACTAAAGAATCTTCTGACGTGGATAAATCCACAGAATCCCATCTGTTGGTTTGATAAGTTCGTCTTGATTTCATCCTCATAGATTTATGTGGCGTATTTGGTGGGACTGATTGTCCATTAGCGGATTCTGATTGTAAGTGTAAATAAGTGTCTGAATGATATGCAGTGTTCAAGTAGAATGGAGGGATGTAAACTTTTCTACAGTCTAACTCTTCCCAGTTCCATCTTTGTTTGTGTGAAAGCTTTTGATGATTATTATGACACGTGCATTTGCATGTTGGTGCATTATTCTCACGCTGATTTTCTTGATCACTTTCATAGATGCTTGAGTTATTCTCATCAACAGATTTCATAAGATTCAAATCGAAATTGTAACGTTGACGAAAGTCTTCTACGCTATGCTGACACATTTGTGTTAATTTCTCTTGACAACATTTATTATTGTCATTTTGAGAATCTATGCATAAAGTATTCTCTAGAGAACTAAATAAACATCGCTGAGGTTTTGCTGAGATAGACTTTTTTAACATCCTTGGAATAATTTATTTCCCTCTCCTGTTAGGTTTAATTCAAAAAAAATATTTATATGTATCTTCCAGAGTACACCTAACTCTTTCAGTGATAACTTGAAGAATATAATCCGATTACAAATAAATTTAAGGATTCTTTAATTAAATAAAAAAAAGTTCATTCGCATTGTGATTGGTCAACACTGGCTATCGAATTAACCAATGAAAATTGACTAGATGACTTGAAGTCATTGTACACGGGGGTAGAAATTCTGTGTATAACCAACCACGTGTCGTTTAATATTGTGCATTAATGATACGTAGGAGGGAGAAAAATTATTGAAAACAATATGTCAGTTACATGACCACTATCCGGTTATACTGCATTAAATAAGAAAGGGGGGAAATAATGGGATTTTGTATGTAAATGTAAATGGCAAAACTATATACAGGCGTCCCATTTGGTCGTGTTTTTTAAAAATTTTTTTTATTGTAAAGTGTCTCTCAACTTCCCTCTAACTGCATTACAGTTAACAAAAATAGTAGAAACAACCATCTGTTATCCGAGAAATAGCTACTTTTCGATGAAATGTGTATTACCGTTGTTCCCATTGTTCATACCAGGCACTCATCTTAAATCAATACGACTGATCAGATGAGAAGTAGACTAATCACTTTGATTCCATCAGGATTCGAACCCAGAACATTTTAGACACAAGTCAGGCTCAGTGGCCAGTTCATAAATTACAACTTTTACCACTTCGTGATATTTGGTGCGAACACCAACCAGTGTCATTGGTGAGTATTTGTCTCCACTCCGAACTGGATGGACTCCACCGATCAAAACGTCTCACTAGAACTCGCTCCAGTTAAATTCGTCCTACACCCAGTGGTCACTAGCCAGCATCAAATCAATTTTTAAAAAGTTAGGTTGTAGGGAGGGATTTGATTTTTTTTTCATTTTTGACCACGAATTGATATCAGTTAGAGAAGCAGTGAAAATCACCAGGGAGTACTAGACAGCTGTTTCGCCAGTCTAGTTTGGGATTCATCAGCAGTACCTATCCACTAGGACCTTTTGGTTACAAGTCAAGCTCACAGACCATTCAGTCACTTGTTATTTGTGAATCGGTTAATGGCGACTGACAAAAATCCTTGCAGGAATTTGATTTCATTACAGACTCTGTCACGAGTTAACATCATTCAGGGAAATACCGAAGAACTAGAAGGCACTGCACATCTGTTTTGTCATAGTTTGGGACTCTTTCTTTAACTATCGTGATGACGAATCAGCACAAACACAATTTACTTACTTTTAGTTAATATTTTACTTGAAGATCTCGGACAAAGTGAAACGCCTATGCAATAATTTCCACTGAGAATTCATCACATTTTATAAACACTATTCAGAATGAGGCTATTATTATTATTATTATCATTATCATTGTTATTATTAAAAATAGAGGTAACTCTTTTAATCTTTTAGATAAATCTTGACCTTTTAAAACAATAGGTTCCAGTTTCTCACTGAGGACGCAGGTGTATCCAGCTGACGACTCCCAAGTGGGATGAAACGCGTGTTTTGGATTCCCCGTACCAACTGCTATCGGCCAAATACTAGAGATCTGTTAGCACTCTCTCTATTTATTCAGAAATTCGACGCATTCAAAGAGAATTTTTATGCATTTCTCGTTACTGATGTTGAGATGGAAGACAAATTGAATATCACTTCGTAAAAATTGCATGAACTATTTATTATTAGTTAGTTTGTAAAGGCTGGGTTTGTTTCAAAGTTTGCCCAAGCACTGATATTAGTCAGAAAACCATTGAAAACGGGCAGGGAGTACTGGACAGCTGTTTAACCAGTCTAGTTTGGGACTCATCAGTAGTACAACCCCACCAACCGGTTTCGAAACCGTCACCTTCAGGTTACAAGCGAAACTTGTAGACCATCCAGCCATTGGGACCCAATTCAGTGACTATCCCATGATTTCTAGCATCTAACTATTCGTGATTTCAGAGTAATTACCAGCCACCAATGTCATCAGCTGGGATGCATACTGTCGATGAGTCCCCAAACCAGACAGATGAAGCATCTATGCACTACTCTGTGATGGTTTTCAATGCTTCTCTAACTGGTATCAATCCATGGGCAAGTTTGAAATATAAGCTATTTTCTGTTGTAATACTTTTACTGAAAATTCAACTATAATAAGTAGTATATTTATTTATTTATTATAGCTTGATTCCACACCGTATTTTTGGTACCAGTATGAAATTTTCAGCATGTTATATCGGTAGCCCAATTTTGCAGGCCGACCATGGATATCGGGTGTGCGCCGGCAGGGGATCGAACCCCGGACCATGTGCATGGTCGGCGAGAGGCCTAACCACTGTGCCACCGACGCATCTAAAACCAGGGAGTACTGGACAGCTGCTGTTTCATCCTAGTTTGGGAATCATCGGCAGTACGCACCCACTGGGATTCGAACCCAGGTTACAAGGCAAGCTCGTATACCATTCAGCCACTGGGACAATGTGCATGGTCGGTGAGCGCCCTAACCTTTACGCCACTGGTTCCTTAAGTCACTAAATTCAGACTAACATATATCATTAGTATATGCCTAGTCTTCAGCGTTGATGATGTTCATGACTAAATTCTATCAGCACTGGATGAAGCGAGTTTAAATCTCCTTTTGGGTGCATCAAATATCTTCAAGGTTGTAGATTAAATTCGCTATCGAGTAAGCCAATGAGCACGGAACTTAGGTTTAAGGCAACTTTCTGTCGATTACCTGCAACCTGCTAGCATCATATCAGACTCATATTTTATCAACATGATTATAATATATTTGTATGTTTTGATTATTGTTTGTTTTTGGTCAATAGTTTACTCAAATATAAAATCATCTCCTTTTGATAAATACATCTGTTATTGACCTGATGCTCAACATGTTAGAATCAGCTGGTGGCTGCAGCTGTTTATCCCTCTAGGCTATAAGGATCAGATTTTAATTACTTGAAAAGTGATTATTGTTAGATTAGTGTGGATCAATTAATAGATAAATGAGCAGGATAACCTCTGGCCGTAATTTTTATTTCTTTAGACTGTAAGATCGTTTATTAAACTTGAACCCTCCCTTAAAAGCTTTGAAGACCCCAAACAATTTGCCTATAGACAGGGTAGGAGCACTTTAGACGCTGCAGCCGTCTTACACAACAGTATCGTTTCATCCTTAGATAAAGGTGCCAAATACGTCCGCTGCACGTTTCTCGACTTCACTTCTGCTTTCGACTCTGTACCTAGATGTCTCTTGCTAAATAAGCTCTCTATGAAAAAACTGAGTTCTGGGTTACTAGCTGGCTGCATTCCTACTTCTCTAACAGAATGCAGTACACTGTATACAAAGGTAAATCCTCCTCTGCTGCGCTCACTGAAGCTGGTGTCCCCCTAGGTACTATACTCTCCCCACTTCTCTTCTTTTTCTTTCTACATGACTTACCATCTTCAAATGACATTAATTTTGTCAAATATGCTGACGACCTGACTGTATCTTTGCCTGTCAAATGTCAGAGTGACTGCTCTAAACTTAATGGCTTTCTGTCAGAAATCAGCCAGTGGTCCAAGGAAAATGGTCTTACCCTAAACCCCTCCAAATGCCAAACAGTCAATTTCACCGTGAGGCATAAATCCGACCTAAACAAACTGGTTGGCTCTCACGAGGTATGCAACATAGACGGCACTGAAATAGAAACCAAATCGGAAATTAAATACCTAGGTGTCATTCTATCTGCTGATCTCTCCTGGTCATCTCATATCTTAGCAATTTCTAAGAAAATATTCCGTCTTACCTTCTACATTAAGAAGTTAAAACATTCTGGTATAACCCAACCCTTACTCCTACAATTCGTTAACTCTCGAATTCTGCCTATTATTCTCTATTGTTCCTCCTTAGTTTTTCCCGGGCTACTGAAGAAAGACTATAACATATTACGCAGGATGTTAAAGGTTGTCAGCAGGGTGAGCAACGTGCCACTTAACCAGCTTGTTAATATTCTGGTCGACAGGCACATGGACTCATGTGAAAAATGGGCCAAGTCCATTTTATCTAACTCACACCACCCTCTTCACTCACAACTCTCCCCTTGCATCTCATCAGGCAAAACCAGAAGCCTATATAGAAAACTATATGCTCGCACCAGCAAGTACAAAAACTCAACCATACCCTACTTAGCTCGTGTTCTGTGCGATAAAGAAAGCATTAGGCGTGACACCTATAATTCATTAAATAGTCAGTAGTACAACTGGATCTCGTCTTTCCAACTCATATCATTTATAGGTACAACATTTTCTTTCTTTCTTTTCCTTTTCTCTCTCTCTCTTTTTCTCTTTTTTCCGTTATGTGTTGCTTTGTTTCTTTCTTCCGCTTACGCCAGTAAATATGATAGCACCTACTTTTCTAACACCTTCAAACACTGTTCAGCTTTGGCTTTGCTACCGACATGCCAATATGTTGTCATAATGAACTGAGATTTCCTTAATCTATGTAGAATTCTATTTATTGATAATGTACTAACTGGATGCAATACTGTAGTAAAAATGCTGAGAATTCCATTCTGTATCACAAGTACTGTTTTGGAATAAAGCAAATTATTTTTATAATTATTAGATATTAAAATAAACTACTACTGTATTCTGGTTAGTTCCTTTATTTTCAAGAGTCAGCTTATGGGGAAGGATTTGATTTGTTACAGTGTTTTCAACATGAGCTGACATTAGTTAGAGGACCATTGGAAAACCTGGGAGTTCTGGACAGCTGTTTCGTCCTAGTTTGGGACTCTTCAGCAGTACGTACTTACCGCGATTCGAACCCAGGACCTTCTGGTTAGAAGGATTTGATTTGTTTCCCGTTTGACCATGGATTGGTATCAGTTAGAGAAGCACTGAAAATCCCCAAGGAGTACTATACAGCCGTCTTTTCCCCCTAGTTTGGGACTCATCGACACTACCCATCCCCTGTGTTTCGAACCCAGGACTAGTGGGCTCGATCCTATGGGGACTGAGAACAAATACTTGCTAATGGCACTGGAGACTGGTGGCCAGCCTAAATTCACGAATTGGTAGAAGTTAGAATTAATCGTCTGGCCACTGAATTGGGTCCTAGCAACTGAATAATAATCTACTAGCTTTAATTGTTGTTTCTGGAAGGTGCTGGGTTCCATACCCCTCGGGTGGATACTGATGATAGGTCCCGAACTAGAGTGAGGGGAAGCAGACAGTTTTCTAGTACTTCTTGCGGGTTTTCAAAGTTTCCTCATTCCTTAATTTTCTTTTCACACTTCCACCCCTTCCTACAACATATACTGATTACTCAATGAAAATGTGCATTCATGAACGATTTTATTTTTGTTTATTTCATATGCACACGTCTTTTAGTGAACTCATTAGTGACATGTTGTGTCCAATTCTTCGTCTTGGTCAGTTAACATATCTGCTGCAATCCTATTGCGGATAAATTGTGATCCCTAGTGGTTCATTGGGTAGGTACTTGACTGTAACACTTGATGATGCAGGTTCGAATTTCAATAAGAAGGCTTGTGTACGCTCAGGACTATGCATAATTTATGCTACCGAGACTGGATATACATGGATTCCTGCCGATTGCTTTCAATTGTCAAACAACAGTTTCCTTTATAGAATCAGAATACTGTTACTGGTTAACCATTGATTTCTAACAGAAGTTTGTCTAACAGTGAGACTCTGTCGCCTAGTGTAGGATTGACAGACTTCTGCTATTGCAATGTGTGGTGATTGCAGTCGAGTGGTATGTACACTTGAATTTCAAATTACACGATACCAGAGAATCACCTTCATCAATTAAAGTCTATAAAATGTCATAGCTACCTTGATTTGTAGTTCTTTTTTTATTCATTCACGTTCCCAGTGGAACATAGGGCTTCAAGCTAGAGGCTTGAAGTTTCTTTAGCAGTGTTTATTTTTACAGGATGAGGTTGCTTGCCTCATGCCCAACCTTTCGTCTTCACCAGCATTATTTCTGGTTTAGCGAGGTAAAGGAGTGCGTCGGCCGGGGATCGAACCATGGACCATGTGCATGGTTGGCGAGCCTCCTAACCACTATGCCACCGACGCACTGGTCCAGCTAGGCGGAGTTCTACGTAATATCATTTTATTTGGTAGCGTTTACAAAACTATCCTTGAAGAAGATCTACAGTAGCTGAAGCTTTCATGATACCTTCAGTTTTATATGATAGAACGACATGCATAAACCATTTCTGTTACTAGTCAGCTAGTTGAGATTATTTTAATGGAACAATAGTAATTGGTTTTTTAATCCAACTCAAATATGATCGAATCAAACAGATATCCGGAAAAGATTTCACTTATATATATATATATATATATATATATATGTATATATATATATATATATATATATATATATATATATGTAACAACGGAAGGCAAGGGTCAGGCGACAGATCATTTATTAAGGAAATCAACGCATATTTATATATTTTCATGTACATTACTATGGATATTTAAGTAAACAAACACAGTCTTCCGATTGGTTGTTTCTCACGTAAAGTTAATCTTTCATCTCTTTGTGACTGTTTCTTGAATGTCAAATCCTTAATATGTTAATTGCATCCGCCTACGCAAAGTCTGCTGTGGTCGGTTTTGAATCAATCTTTGTTCACATTTTCTCACGACAAATCTTGGGAAAGTAAATATTGACGTAAATTACTGTCTACCAATTTGGCTAGTAGACAGCTCTCTTTATATATATATATATATATATATATATATATATATATATATATAAATAGAGACTATAACAAAAGTTACCTACTGAGTGCTAAGATAAATTAGGTGCATTGTGCAGGTTCAGTGACTGACGCACTTCTTCTGTATGCAGACTTTAACATTTAACATGTAGATTACAGTAGCTTTTGAGGTATGAAGAAGCGTGCTTTGTATTCCTATTGTAAGATTTCCGTGTAACTGTTGTGTACATGACTATAGAGTTGGTTTGAGATTTCTCTTGGTGGCTGGATGTCGCAGAGTAGAACTTTGGCAGTAGGGGGGGCGAGTTCTTCTTTGTAAGACCATCAGAGTAATTGCTTGATGATATGTTTGGACAGCAGATGCTAAATATAACCACAGGAGCAGGTGAACTGATAGATGAGGATTGATGAGGCCGTTACTGTTGTTGAAGGCTTCATTATTATCCGTATTGTGGAGAAATTAATTTCAAGTTCAGCTGAGAAGATTTCCTTCAATGAACGGGAGAAGTAGTTTCTAAGTATTTCTCCCAATGAGTCTCCACTGAATTTCTGATTCAAGCATAGAAGTTTTTCGGGTAAAGAAAGTGTCTATGTGATTTTAAGTGTGTAGGCATCTTGGATTTTATGATGACATGTTCGAGGTATCTGTTTTTAATGAGGAACTTACGTCAGAGTTCTCAGCTGCAGTTTATAATGTTGAACTTAGAGATGTAACTCGCTGAGCATATCAAGTTTCGCTTTGCATATAAAGATACCCTAATGTAAAGGTTCATTGAGTTGTCCTTTCCATGTTGGCTTTCTGTAGATGAATCTCCTACAATATTTCATTATGCTACCTAGTGAATCAAACATCCAGGAATTATATTTTTGAATTAGACTCCTTTTCTAATGGGAAATAGATTGTAGGATGGGAGGTGTTGAAAAAAAACACAACCCTAGAATATCTTTCAGATTCTCCTAAGTTCTATTCTGCAATTTCTTTTATTTATTGAATTTCTTGTCTCGGGTGAAATTAGTAAAACCATCAGCGTTTTGTCCATCCTTGTAAATAACAGTGAGCTTCTACACTGAGATAAATCGAGTTGTGACGACGTTTGAATGCCTGCGTCAGTTTAAAACTCAATAATCTATAAAAACAGCTTATCGGGATATGTGACGCTCTTTGTCAATATACACAAACACATATAGATGCAATCAGCAGTAATCTCTGGAACCATGTTTTTTATCTAATGCAATACATGGCATCAAGGCATATCCTGAACACCACATGGATCAATACCCCAGTTCGGATTCACAAATAACCTCCTGTACTGCTACTTTTCCGATTTCTGACAATCCTATAACACTAAAGCAATATTTCAAATACTAATGTATATCGCATATATATAACTAGGATGAAACAAAGCCGATGACAGAAAACAAATGCAAAGCAAGCAAAAATGAAAATTAATGACACACTACAATCGGGCAATTCAAACGAATAAATAAGCGAAGGCATAAAGTATAAAGTATGAAGGTATAAACTGAAATTTCTTTCACCTATCTACCCGCCTACCTAAGCATCCATCCATTTGTCCGTCCATCCAGATGTTTGTTTGATGTTTACAGCTTTAAGAGAAGAAAGAACATTTTTCTTGTTGTTGTTATTGTTGTTGTTGACCTGTTTTTGTGTTTAAGAATTATGTATTATTCATCCGTTAGCTATAATATTTCACTGTTAATTAAACCAGTTTATGCATGATATGTGTAATGTGCAAAACAAACAGGACAAGGAAAAAGAGAAATATTAACCCCCTTTAAGTGTATGTAGAGACATCTTTTCGCTCTCCGTTTGACAAAACAACATTTTCTTAATAGCACATTTATTCATTTCCTCTTCTCTCTCCTTTCCTCTGTTTCTGTTTATCCGTCTTTCAGGTATACAATATTGCCATTGTAGTAAACAGGAAAACAAGTCAAAATCATGTTAGTGAATAGCTAAAAATAGTTCAATAACCACAAAAACAACACCAACAACGGAAGGAAACCTCGACAATGTACTTACAATTTAGAATTTATGCCATATGAAATAGGTAGAATATTGCGCTATACTCATTCATCAAAAGTAATGATGAATTAATTATATTAGAATAAAGAATGTATCAATATACACAGTACATGAACAACATTAACCCAGAAATAAACACTAGTCGACTTGATTACTACTCGTCTGCTTGTTTGTTTGCAGTAGCAGTAGTCGCACTAGTGGTGGTGATCTCAGATGACCGCAACTATTCATCATTCACTCTCATGTCGCTTCTTGCTTCCACACACACTCACTAACACACACACACACACAGAGAACATTCCGTTTCTTTTACAAAACTGGATACTCCTCAGCTAATTATCGAAGGCAGAAAGACAGAGGAAGGGAGAAGAGGGGGAGGAGAGAAGACCAATGTTGTCTGTCGATATCTGTATCGTCTCTGTTTCCTTCTGCATCTTCCATTTTTCTGCTTTTATAAATTCATTCATTCATCCGTTCACAGGGATGAACACGAAAACACAGGCGAATTTATCACAAAACACAATAGTTGATTTATGTTATCCTCAAATTGACTAGAAGCAAAAGTGGAGGAAACCATAAATTTAAAAAAAAATACTGAGTAGGAGTACACCGAGGGGATTTTAGCGGATAGTGACGACTAGCTGTGGAATCCAGAATGCGTATTCCATCCTGTTTGCTTGGAAAAATACTTGCCCATGAAAGATTCATCGTTAAGAATACAAAATGTATATATGAAGCACAGAGAAAGTCAAATTACTAGCCACCAACTCCGAATAACACCTTGTTCTTACAACTTCCTTGAGTTCCTCGGTGATGATAATGTCAGTGAAATAACAAAAGCACAACGCTTAAGGAATCAGGTGGAAACAGCATTCAGTGGCGCTGAAACACACACTGTCTATTCAAAACCACTCCTAACTTACATTCGGGATTAGATAAAGATAAACTACACAAGTTGGCCTTGTCTATGTGTGTATCTATCGATTTGACAGCTCGCTCCTGTGACGAACTGGTTACATAGGGCGTAAAATTGGTCGTGTTCACTGTAAATTAACCAGTGCATGCATGATATATGAAATGTGAAAACATACAGGACGAGTAAAAGAGGAAGATGAACTTCTATGTCTATGTACACACCTTATCTTCCCTTCAACAAAGAGCACTTTAGATGGTTGGTGGCAACAGACAGAAAGCCCTGCCTGCAGACGTGGGTTTCGTGCTTGTTAGTTGGCGCTCATCCACAAGGCGTACTACAACCTTGGAGGAAGTCATGTCCCTTCTGAGATTCTAACCCACATCACCCAGTGATGCAATCAGAGACTTGTCGACAGTTCGTCAGTCAGCTATTATGTTAGTCGATATCTCATGAAAATTAATCCATAGAATGAAGAAACACTTTACACTTAAATTACCTGTTTCCCCAGCCCTTACTAGTTAAACCAGAATAGACACACAGTGATGTGAGCCAAAAAGTTGATTCCTCACAATAATGTATGATTTAAAATATCACCAAGGAATTGTCAATTAGATGGAGGATTTCGTCATGAGCTGACATCAGTTAGAGAACAATTGGAAAACCAGAGAGTACTGGACAGCTGTTTCATCTTAGTTTCGGGAATCTTCAGAAGTACGCACCCACCAGGGTTTGAACTCAGTACCTTCTGGTTACAAGGCCAGCTCGTTGACGTTTAAGCTACTGGGGTTCTATTGGGAATCCGTGACCAGTAATGTGCAACAGGTTGAAGGTGAGGACAGTTATTCATCGAAGAAGACATTGCGAAGTGGTCGCGCTATGATGATGAAATCCTTCAACCAATTAAAGAAATCCCTACAAACCAATACTTGACTATTTGTCATTTAGTATGTAGACATGATCAATAAAACACCGGACGTTATTTTTCATGGGCAAAATTACCCATTCGTATATTTGCAGACTGAACATTGACCATCATATCAGAAATATCCGAAAATTAAGCTACTAAATAACTAAGAATCAGTCAAATCGATTGATAGCTAGATGTTAACCAATTGGTTTGAATCAACCAGTTGTAACCTAAGTGGCTTATTGTTAAGGTCAGATTAAACATCACGTCTTCAAATCACATTAACACTGAACACAACAAGTAGTGACAATAAACAGAAGTCATCAGTCGAACACGGTTTCTTTTAAACTGGTTACAAATTGATCAGTTCAGTTGTGTACTTTGAGCACGGTGGTTTAATTGCGAAGCTTTCCTCGTCATTCTAGACAACATATTCATTGCCTACTTAAGTGAAACGTCAGCATTTTGGAATTCTCCATAATATGCTATAAGTTTCTCTTCAGTCTTCAGAAAGCAGTTTTATTCAAAACATAATGACAGCTTAATTCATTCTTTTAGATTTTCCCGTCGATTGATTGATAAATATATATGTATATATATATCAACTGAAGTGATATTGTTAATCCGAAGGACACTCCAATATTCCACAAAGTTCCTCCTCCATTTCCATTAGGAAGTCCGTTAGGAAAGTTTGAAACCTGTTTGCAAGTATACCTGAGTATACAGTGAGATTCTGAAACATGACTGCATGATTAAAACCACTGTCAAGTGACTTCACTACTTGAATTTCCATCCTAGACAATGCATCTTATTTTCTTTAGTTCTTGTTGTTATAATCATTCAGTTATATCTCCTATCGTTGAGCATTTCTATGAGACAAAAGAAAACTACCGTAGTGGATTGTTTTATTTTTCAGATCTAACATCATTGCGTCACATGACACACTGGAAATGGCTGTTTAACTTGAAACTCTTGGATGAAACGTAAATATTTTCCTATAAACTACACTGAAAATTGTACATATTGGATAAAGTTATTGTGCACAATGCATTTATTTGAATGGATAATTTAGCTAGCCCAATGGTTTAATTGGGCCACTAGTATCACGAAAATTGAGATCTACTCAGCTTAATTCAAACAGGAAAGATAGTCATATCATTCATGCAAAATATCAAATTGGTGACTTCATTTTGACGTAAGCGATGAAGATATTGTCTAGAAGGACGTGGAAAGCTTCACAATTAAGCTTTACGGC